GAAAAGAGGAGATCTTTCAGGTGTTTTACCATTTCCTACAGTTTACAAGAATGCTCGAAACCAAAAACAAACCAGGCAAAGAGAACTTACGAGAGACGAAGAGGATAGTGAAGAAAAGGAAGTTGCAGAGACAACGCGGAAGACAGTCCAGCGGCAAGTATCTGAAAGCGTGTGTATTTGAAAAGACGTCAAAATTTTAAATCATAATAAGTAGGAGAGTACGAAGGGGCGAAAAGTTGAAATGATGACCGAGAAGTGTATTTTCAGACATCTGCCTTGGAAATGGGGTCAGCCACCGAATTTCGGCTCTAATTTTTTGAGTTCGAAACCAAACACTCCAACCAACTGTCCTTAGTGGAATGTTTGGGGGGCAATTGTGGGGGCCGAATAATGGGGGTCGTAAATAGGCCGAGTATATGAACTTGGGGAACTGGGATGTATGTATAGTATTCGGTTTTATCCCACATCTAAATCATACCCTATTCAGTCAAATAGCCGAATAGGGCAAGGGCCGAGTAAAAAGTAATTTGCTACAAAGGAAGCCGAATGACGAACAGAAAGTGGGCCTAATCCCGAGACCCAAGAGAGAAAGGATATAAATAGAAGAATATCATCCAGTAAGAGGTATGTGAGAACTATTGTGCTTAATTTAGAATACAAGTAAACTTGAGTGTAAAGACTGACTTGCCTGTCGGAGTGCTAATTCTGGCACCTCCGACCAGAGTGTTTATTCATTTTCAGGTGACTAGAAGAGGGTCACTAGCGTCTCCCAGGATTAGAAGAGTATTTCCGAAACCACTTCTCCACACATGGTTTCATTTTCTTGAGAGACTTAAAAATCACTTCTAGTGCGTGTCTCTACTTCCATTTGAGGAGAGAGAGAATATCAAGGCTATGTTTGGCATGTTTATTTGGGTTAAAATAGTTATATAAGACAAAATTGATTATTTTAGTTAAATAGGACAAAATGTCACATTCAAATCATAATCATTTTATTTTTTCTTTCACAAAAGTCAAAAAAATAAAAAATCCTATCCCAAACGAGACTTTTTAGCCCCAGGCTATAATAGTCAAAAAGGCAACTCACATCTCAAATGAAGGCAATATCTAAAGAATGGAAACAAAAAAGAAGAAGGTTGATTTTTTTATTATTTATTTGTTATCAATCTCAGCTGTCAGTCTCTCTGCGTGGGTGATGTGGCCCTATCTAGGTCTTCCCCCACAGGAGTCACTAGAGAGGATCCAGATTCCTAAGAGAATGCGTCAATTATGAGTTTGGATTCTCTCCAGTGACTCCTGTGGGCGACTGCCCAAATGGGGGCACATCACCCACAAGGAGACCGACTGTTGAGATTGATTATAATAATAATAAAAAAAAAATAAAAAAAAAAAGAACAAAGAAAATCTGCCTGCTTTATTTTTTTTTCTTTCCCTTCTTGAGATACTAGATTAAGGCTGTGTTTGGTTGTGTTCTGAAAATGTAATTCCACCACTCTATTTGCATTTCATATTTGGATTGAGTTTTCAAAATGTAATTCCACCACACATTTCAAAATGTAATTCTCCTTCCTGTTTGGCAGATTTCTCTCTGTTTCGTCTTCTCTACTCTTCCCACTCTTCCCAACGTACATATTCTCTCTCTTTGATCTTCTCTATTTCTAAAAAGCTTCATGTGCAATGAAATTTAAAGCTAAAGATGCTTCACAGCTGATACGTATATCCTCCTTCAATTGATCTGGTGTAGACTAGCTAAGAAGGTGGAATGGGTTTCTAATCTGGGCAAAAGTGGCTGAGCCGATCGTCCACCAGGACATCTGGCCGGTCGACCGCCACTCTTTGACAGTGGATTTGCTCAAAGGTAGAGAGTTAGTTGCAATGGAACTTGTTGCTTGTTCTTGCATTTTACCTTCACAGAACCCCCTTCTCCCCCCTCCCTCCCTCCCTCCACACACACACACAAAAAAAATATATAGATAGAGCAACACTCTTTAATGATGAATTTACTCAAAGGTAGAGAGCTAGCTGCAATAGAACTCATTGCTTTCTTGCATTTCACCTTCATAGGACCCACAGAGTCTCTCTCTCTCTCTCTCACACACAATATATAGATAGAGCAACACTCTTTAATGATGAATTTACTCAAAGGTAGAGAGCTACCTGCAATAGAACTCATTGCTTTCTTGCATTTCACCTTCACAGGACCCACAAAGTGTCGAGAGAGAGTAGAGAGAGAAAAAGGATAGAGACGGATAGTTTGAAATTGGTGAGCATGGGGGTCTAGGAGCCACATAGAGGTGAGTTAATCAAAGGTTGGGGGATGTGAAGTGTGGACTTGTTTTGTCCGTAGGATTGGTTTATGATCTGACGATCTGGATTTCATTTTAAAGTGAGATGCATTGAATTGGGACTTTGTTTGATGACAGGTGTAGTGCCAGCTTGAAAAGTGCAAAATGGTTTGAAAAATCATTTTGATGTTTTAAATGCTAAGTGGGAAACATGGAAGTTGGAATGCCAAGGAAAAAAAAAATACAATCGCTGTGTTTAGTTTAAATTTTGTAGATTAAGTTTTTTGAAAATTAATTTTTTTTAGTTTTTGTATTTTTTTATTTTTAGTGAATATTTTTTAAATTTTAAATATTTTTTTTACTTTTTTAGATGTATCTTACTTAAATGTATCTAAAAAGTAAAAAATTTGTGAAAAAATATTTTAAAAAATTAATAAATACATAAAAATACAAAAAAAGTACTGAATTCTTGTATTCTTTTTGTGTTTTTGGTATTTAGTGAATTTTTAAAAGATTTTTTTTACTATTTTTTTACTTTTTAGGTGTATTTATTTTAGGTGTATTTATGTTAGGTATGTCTAAAAAGTAAAAAAATTACTTAAAATATTAAAAAAATTCAATAAAAATAAAAAAACACGAAAAACAAAAAAGTAAAATTTTCTGAAAAGTGTTTTGGAAAACTGGAAACCAAGCAAGGTGTTAAGTTAACTGATTGAAATCAATTGAAATGTGTGATGATATTTTAATTTTTGTTTAACTCCAACTTAGATAATATTTGATAAATTTTTTAGTTATTTATTTAAAATAATAATATAATAAATAGTAAATAATTTGTTACAATAATTACTAAAAATATAAAAATATTTTAACTGAAAAATATTTAAAAAAATTCGAACCAAATATATAATCAAAAGTTATTTTAAATCCGTAATTGAATATTTATTTTGAAAAAAAAAATATGTCTTTTGTAATATTTTTAATTAAAAAAATTGATTAATGTTATTCTCTATTAATAATTAATTTTTTTATTTGAATTTTAAAAGAGTTTAGTTTTGAGTGTTGATCAAAATTTTCAATAGAGTTTTGAGTAGTGTGTTTGGTTATGAGTTATAACAATTTGAATTAAGTTTTGAAATTTATTTTCAAAACTCATAACCAAACAAATTTTCTTATTTCACATGTCACATCAAACATTAAAAACTCAATTCAAGGCTCAATTCAAAACTTAATTTAAAATTTTTTTCAAAACTCATAACCAAACAAATTTTCTACACTCAAATTATAATTTTAAAATTTACAAAATCAAAATAGAACCATATTCTCAAATCATATTTAAAAAATTTTATCAAACATTACCTGAGATTTTCTCTCTCCTCAAATGGAAGTATAGACACCTACTGACAGTGATTTTCAAATCTCTCAAGAAAATGAAACCATGATTTTCAAATCTTCTTCTTCCCCAATCTTCTTCTTCCCCAAATCTGAAGATTTGTGTATCCCAGGCAAAAACTCTTATCACATAGCCCCAATGTTTGAGAGAGAGGGAGATAAAGCAAGCAATGCTCATCACTTCTAACCTCAAATCTCACCACCACAAACCACCACCAAACCCACCATCTCTTCTTCTTCTTCCTCCTTTCTCTCTCTAAAAACTACCAAATCACACCCACCACAAAATAAATCCAGATTCAAACCCCAAAAAAATAAAAATAAATAAATAAAAAAAAAAAAAAAAAAAGAGAAAAACAAGACCCATGTCCACTGCCCCTACAATTAAAGGGGATCAATAATTAGATTTACTTTTCCACATGTATTTGTATATGAACCAGTAAATATTGTTGATTTTTCCCTCAAAACTAGCCCTGTTTGGCAAGTGAATCCACAAAAAGATTAAGATAAAACAGTTATCAAATCCTTAATCATTTTATTTTTTCTTTCACAAACATCACATCTAATTATACAAAAAAAATCTAATCAGCTTCCTAAACACAAAAAAATTAACCTACTAAAATAACCAAAAACTAAAGTAACCTACTAAAATAACCAACCTTCCAAACCCGGTAAATGACTAGGCTATAGGACTAAATTGAGATGACAGCATTCAAGAATATATTATTTCATGGTGAAAATTATCAAGAAGAGATCAAACTATCATAAACTAAGAAACAAAGAATCAGAACATCCTCAAATACAAAAGAAACACCCTGAACTTCGGAGGTCTTGAGTTCAACTACCACTGTCAATGCCTTGTTTTGCCTGTTGTAATTTGACCCTTTCCTTTCATTCTTTTTTCTCATACCCCTGAACTTCAAGATCCATCGCAATCTCAAGAAGCTGAAAGTCCGAGAATTGGGCAAACAAACATAAAATCCTGAATTGGGCTTCTTGGTTTCAAGCAATTTCAAGCACTCGTGCTCATCAATTGATGCCATTCAAGGATGCTAGTTTGATTGAAGAACCTACCAGGCTACTTACTACTCAGCTCAATTTGACTGGTTTAAAGATTTCAAAATAGCATTTGCTTGCTGCAATATGTTTCGAAGCTTATTGCTCATCCTGGATTGTCAACGAATTAATAATTCCTTGTCGCACTTAAAATATTTCAAAGATTCATCATAGGTACTTCAGAACTATTTTATAGACTGCAACTATCTGCTAATTGATAATTATATGCTTTTGCATCAAGAGAACATTTTAAATCAGTTGAACTACGCATTTATATGTCAATATTTATTGTATTTAGTGAGGTCATTCACAATTGGACAAACTAGTTTATTGGCTAAATTCAGAAACCTTGTTTAAGATATAATAAGAACAACAAATACAGATCATAAAATTCATTTGAGATAATATGGATTTGTTTGAGTACACCATTTTAAATGCGATTATGAACTCATTTCTTGTATCAGAGCATTGAGGTCAGAATAAGATGATCCACCCTCTTCAACAGCCTTCTTCGCCATATCCTTAACTGCCCTAGCTCGGGTTCTCATTCCCTCAGCTTCTTCCCCAGCCTCCATAACCCGCTTCACTGCTTTTGCTATTGTTTCTCCCTTGATACAATCACTTCCTGCTCCAATCTGCCATTGCCGAGCACCAACCCCAACCCCAATTCTCAAAACCTCAGTCACCAACTTCTCATTATAGAATTGCTCCGCAAATCGTGGCCAAGTCACCATTGGGACGCCGGCACAAACACCTTCCAGGAGCGAATTCCACCCGCAGTGAGTCACAAAACCCCCAATCGATTCATGATCAAGAATCAAAACTTGAGGTGCCCAACCTCTTATGATTAGTCCCTTGTCCTTCATTCTCTCCTCAAACTCCTCCGGCAACCGCTTCTCATCACCGTCTTCTTCGATCTTGCCTTTCCTCACAACCCAGATGAATTGTTGCCCTGAAGCTTCGAGCCCCATCGCAAGCTCAAACAACTGAGAAGCAGTAAAATCGCCCAAACTTCCAAAACATACGTAAATTACAGAATTGGGTTTCTTCGAATTAAGCCATTTCAAACACTCAACCTCATCAATGGCTGATTCTTTACCTCTCTGTGCTTTGTCTTCTACCTCCCGATTGCAGAGCGAAACAGGGCCAATATGCCAGGCCCTTCTTCCCAAAACATTCCTGTAGTAATCAGCATAGTCCGGTTCAAGCTCGTAGAAACTATTGACAATAACGCCATAGCTTGTCAGCTCCGTCTCTTTAACTTGCTTCAGCATCGTGGACAAGCCAGTCTCTGTATCGCATCGTTCATTCTCCGGCAGCTGCGACCTAGTTAACATTATTTTGTGAGGAAGATTAGGCACCAGAAAGGGTTCATCGTCGGAGGACACACTCGCCTGAGGCATGTAAAGCCTCAGATTCTCGGAAGCGCACAAAGTGAAGAAGCCAGTCCCATGGAAAACCAGCCTCGGAATATTGAACTTGGCTGCGACATGAGTGGCCCAGGGGAAGAACATGTCTGCGACGAGGCAATCAGGGCGGGAGTCTTGGAGGAGTCGCTCGAGCGGGTCTTGTAGCATGGTGGTGGCCTTCAAGAAGTTGGGAAGCATGTCGGGGGAAGGGATTTGATCGACGCTCTCGCAACCTTCCACTAAACCGGCCTCGACTGCTGGGAATTTGAGGGTGAGGACAGAGATAGAGTGATGGGTTCTTTGGATTGATCTGGTGAAGTAAGGGGCGTTGAGAGGGGTGGTGATTATGGTGGCTTTAACGCCATGGGAGGCGAAGAGCTTTGCCATGTCCAGAGTTGGGATCATGTGACCTTGAGCCATCACCGGAAAGAAGAAGAAATGAAGCTTAGCCATTTTGTTTTGGATTGGATCTATTCAACCGACCTACTCTACTACTGGGATGTTCAGAGTAACAATAGAAATTGAAAATCAGAGATGAAGACTGAGGAAAGCAAGCCAATTTGCTTCAACGGCTATGTGACAACGCCTATTGGAAGGAACGTAATGCATACATACATGGAGGGTTTAGGAATTTTATCATAAGAAAATGCAAGGTATATATGATGTTTAGGGATAAGCTCAGTCCATTCCTCATGTCTGTCTATATACTTCTTCAAAACTTTGTTGTGGACCTCAAAGTCAGACCCACATGGATGATCCGAAATAAAAGTTATTTATGCAAAAAAAAAAAAAAAAAAAAAAAAAAAAAAAAAAAGAAAAAAAAAAAAATTTATCATAAAATGAAAAAAAAAAAAAAAAAAAGAAAAAAGAAAAGAAGAGAGAGAGAGAAAGATCAGATTTATCATATAACTGTAAATATAGGAAAAAAATTATATTTTATTTTATAAAAAGAAAAGATTATGGTACCTAATCTTGAAAAGGTATGTATAATGTGTATTTTATAATTAAACAAGAAAATAGTATAATTTCTTACTTTCTGCTAAAAAAAATAATAAAAATAAAAAATAAAACACACATAAGGTATAACTATAGATCTCATGAGTTGTAATTAAAAAAAAAAATTGTCATAACTTAAGAAGAAAATGACATAACTTAAGAGTTCATATGGTAAGAGGTGTGTATAGTAAAATTTCCCTTTACAAAATGGATGATTTAAATTTACAAGATATTCGATGAAACTGATATGAGAAAATTATACTGACAATCTCTATAGTTTGGGGCTTGTATCACTTTGATCCCTAACTTTTCAATTGTGATACATTTAATCTTGAATTTTGAATTTTATTCCAAATAAGGACAAACAATGATGTTTTCTTGGCAAACGGTCCATTTCAAGTGTAAAATCATCTTACAACCTATTTTGTGTTAGTTAATTTATATTTTGTTTGAAACGTAATTTTTTTTTTGTTAATGAATAATGTTGTAACTTTTTTTTGTTATAAAATTCTATTTTATTTTGGCTTTTAGAATCTATTTTCAGAAAGAAAAAAAATAAGAAACTAAAAATTAAATTGGTAAAAAAAATTATTTTTATATAATTTTATTTTTTGGAAGGATAAAAATAAATTTTTTTATATTTATTTTCATTAAATTAATTTTTATTTTTTCAAAAGTCAAACATACGCAACAACTTTGATAGTATTATCAAACAAATTCATTAAATCAGAAAATCTAAATCTAAAAGCATTTCATGTATTAAATATGTTGATTACACATTAAAAGCCTATTAACCATCTATTACATGATAATCATCTAAAAATATTTGTTAACAACATATACAACCATCATAACCATCCAAAAAATCAACAAAAACAATCACTCATTAAATGATCATTATCCAAACACATAGTAAAAATTAATTTGATAAAAAATAAAAATAAATAAGAAGTAAAAGATTTATTATTTTTTATAATTTTATCTTTAGTAGATAGAAATAATTTTTAAAAATTTAAAAATAATTTTTTGACATTTATTTTTATCAAACTAGTTTATATTTTATCAAATTGACGACTATGCCCTCGAAATTGAGTAGCAGTGTCTTCGATTGTCCTTATTTAAAACGAGATTTAAAGTTTAGAGTCAAATGTGTCACAATTAAAAATTAAGGATCAAAGTGACACAAGTCCTAAACTAGAAGAACTGTTAATATAGTTTGCTCAACTGATTTTTTACATAAATGACTTATTGTGAGACTTATAAGGTAGATAGTTTTGAATCATTGGTGTGAGTTAGAATTAAAACCCACAATAGGATATGAAGAAAAGCTTATCTGGTGATGGTTATACATCTTATTTTTCATTTCATTTTCTCACGCCAAAATAAAAAATAATGTGAAAATAATGGTTGCACGTTATGCACATGATACTCATTTGCACATGTGATTGAAAAAAGGAAGTGAAAGTAAAATTATATGTAACATTTTTCATTTAGGATTCCATATACATCTTGTTGTCAAAGTATGAGGACGAAGGAGACTTTGTTTTCAAAAATTATTTTTTTTATTTGTATTTATTGTGTTTATTTCATTTTTAGTGTAAAAACGTTATATTTTAATTAAGAAAATTTATTAAGAAATCTTTTTACAAGTACTTGTATCCCAATTAGTCCATAACATATTCTTATAATTTAATAAATTTTATTATTCCGACATTTGATCTACTAAATCCTAATTATTATATTTAAGGTATTTTATGAATAATTTTACGTAATAAATATTTTTTGAACGCTGAGCGATTTTCGTGATGTGAACATACATAAATGTTCACATTGACAGTGTCAACATTCACATTGTCAGTGTGAACATTCACATAACGGAACATTCACAGTGTCAATTTGAATATTATTATTAGGAGTATTTTGGTAATTATGTCACTCATAGGATTTATTGAAATATAATAAAATAATTTAGATTAGGTGGAACATAAGTAGATAAAGAGATATTTATAAATAAATACTATTTTAATTAATTTTTTTCACTTTTAGATACATTTCTTAGGCACAATTTGGCATAATATACAAAATTGCACCTTTTTTTTAAATCTTTTTATTTTTTTTAAGTCACATCGCATCTCTATTTTTTTATAAATCTTTACATAAAAAGTCAAAAAGTACTTATTTAGATCATCTCAAATACCCTCTAAATGTGATTAAAAATTGAAGTATATGTAAAAAAATCTCAAAAATATTTGCTGAAGAATAAACAAAAAATTATTACTCTGTGTGTGTGTGTAGTATTTAGTGAATTTTTAGATTTCTTCATATATATATATATATATATACTTTACTTTTTTGGTACATCCAAAAAAAGGGACATACGGCCAAAAATTTAAATTTGAATTTTATTAGGCCAAGGTCCAAGCGTTGAAATTGAGAAATTTTATTTTCACATACCTAATTAATTTAAGGTAAATTTTTTCTTAATACACACATATTGATTTGATTATTAACTAATTTTTTTAATCCACACCCTTAAAATTACAATTACATCATTCACTCATAATCATGGTACACACACTTTACTCTCAAATCCACACACTTTTATTAACCATAATTCACATTTCTAGTTCCACCCACAAAAGTGAAGACCAAACTGACTTTCATTCAAAAAAAAAAAATAATAAAAACAAAAAGTAAGAAACCATTGAAGACCCTTGTTTAAAGTAAGTAATCTTTGAGCTTTCCTCACCTCCATTGAAGAATGTGAAGACCTCCATTGAACCTCCACTAAAAACCATTGAAAACCCTTGTTTAAGGTAAGTAATCTTTCCATTTTATCATTTTGTTGTTACATTGTTGGCCAACAATTATAATTGGATATATCGAAAAGGGTCTCTATTGCTCGATTTATATGACCCGCCACATTGCCATAGATCTTGATAACATTGTAGAAAAAATTCTTCAAAGAGTCTATAACTTCTTCTTTCAAGGTTGATTATTTCCATGATATCTTCAATCCTATCGAAGTTCTTGGCTAAAGCGAGCTTGTTGACAATCATAGTGTAGAGAGCTTCATTGGGCTGATAGTCTTTGCGATTTGAGAGTTGGGTTAAGAGAGAGAGTGTTGAATTGGGATTTTTGAGAGTTTAGAAGAGCGTGAGAACCTCATTGGGCCTTAACCAGTTTTTGTGGTTGAGAATAGTGGGATTATTGGAATCTGGAGATGACCCAGATGAAGAAGCAAACTGACAAAAAATTAAGGTTTAATTTTTTTAATTTAAAAGATGTATATTGATATTTTTATCTTTAAAAATATATACAAAAAAATTTTCTATGTAATATTATGAGTGTTACTGGATATCTATTATGATTATTTTTACTTAAGATATAATTGTCATTAAATTAATATTTCATTAAGTATGTGTCATAAACTAGTCAGGTGTGTCGAATTAGAATTTTCCGTTGAAATCATTTGTCCATAAGGCACGATTTGGCAAATTGACCAAACTACCCCCCACACATATATATACCCCTCTGACTTCAAGCTCTAATTAGAATCCCTATCTCTTTCTATCTCATCTTCGGTTCTTGAAACAACAATCTTCAAAAATCACCAGAATCTTCGCCAAAGCCACTGCCGCCTGCCCTCAAGGGCACTCTCAAACGTAGATAGATCTCTGTCATGTTTCGAGATCTATGTTGAGTTCTTCTCTCCTCGTCAAACTCCAATCTTTCGATCTCCATCAATAGACTCCGCTCTACTTTGATTCTTCATTTTTTTCACCAAACAAACTCCGAACCACCACGATGACGACGATTCTAAGGGCTAAGGTATGTTCAACAAGGGATCTTCGATCATGATGGGCATCTCGGAGTTCATCAGTTTTATCACCGGCGAAGCCTCTCTAGAAAATGAGGATTACAATGACTCTCACTGCCAAAGATTCAAAGATCCGATCAGATATCTACTTTCAAATCTCTTTCATTGTCGCTCAAAACTTAGCAGATTCATTGATCGATTATTCTGCAGAGCAAAAGGGGAAAAAGTCATTTCATCTCTAAGGTTTATAAAGAAATTTGTGCGATCTTGTGCTAGGGTTTACAAAGGCTCATATTTGGGCTTGTAATCATTGTTTGTTGTGCGATGCATGAAGGTTTGGTTTGTTTGTTAGAAAAATCTGTTAGATGGTGATGGTTTAGCTCAAGGTCTATTTGTTTAAAATCCAACACAAACAGATACGAGCCTTCACTGATTGACCATATTCTTTGTTTTTTTTTTTTTTTTAATAGTTGTTGATGATGATGAAGATTACAACAATTTTTTTTTTTTTTTTTGGGTTCTTGTGTTGAGGACCAGTTGCAACAGATAGTAGTTGGTTTGGCTCTTTATTTCAACAGATATTTCAACTTTTCAACTGATAGGATTTTGGTTTGGCTTGGTATTTCAACAAATAGGAAAAACAAAATAAAAAATTGAATAGATAATAAAATTTCGACAGATATTTGAATAGATAGTCAAAAAAATTGAATAGATAGTCAAAAATTTTGAACAGATAGATATAAGTTTGAACAGATAAAAAAAAGTCAATAGATAAAATTTAAAATAAGATGTCCTCTCAAAACAATAAAAGGGTTTCACACCAAACTATTTCACAAATTATGGATCTCCTTACCAATAAAAAAATATCCTCTTTAGATTGGATTTTTCAACAATTGTCTCTTTAAAAAATAACTAAAATATATGGAAAAAATAATCACCAAAGAAAAAACAATACAAAAGATAAGAAGTTAGAAATATTTTCGATAACCATACGAAATAAGGTTAATATTATTATATTAATTATGTGGAGCTCAATCAATGGCGCAGTTGAAACTTTATTGTAAGCAAAATTACTCACCTCTATTAGGTATTTTTGAAGAATTTGATCCCCTCTATTTTTATTCATAAGGTTGCAACATATCTTGAAATTAAAAAATCAACTATCTATAATTAAGATGTGATTATAAATATTATACCTTCCTTTTTGTTGTAATTTATAATTAGGATTTGTTTACATGGATTTCTTATAACCATTGATAATAAAATGAAGATCTCTATCAAAATCTGAAATAAGAAATAACTCACTTACTATGTCATGTGATTTTCATTTATTTAAAACACTAAATACATATATTAATTAATAATTAAAAGGTTTAGAACATCTACAATGGACTCTTTAAACAAAATCTGTTAGCTATTATGACTAGCATCATTATATTTAAGTCATTTTAACGGACTAATTTTTACAATAGTTATTTTAACCAAAAAACAAATTTCAAGACTAGTTATATTTGAATAGCGTTGGAAGGCTTTTTAAAACAATTTATCTATATAGATAAGTAAAATAAAGAGTAACATATAGGACTACATCTATACTATTATATAAGCAAATACGTTAGTAGGTCTTTGAGACTTGAAATCTCAATATAATTTTATCAAATTATTAAATTTATAAATTATAAAAATAGATATGTCATGAAAGTATTGGATTCATAATATGGTAATATCTCTTTAACATTTAATTAATAGAAACTAAATATGTGATGAAAGTATCAGCTTGTTTGATTTTGACTTTCAAGATTCACTTTCTTGAAATTTAAAATTTTTTGTTTTTCATGTTTTTTGTTTTTACTGAGCTTTTTTAATATTCTAAGCATTTTTTTTAAAATTTTAGATACACCACTACAAGAAATTAAGGATTTAACGGCGTTTAATTAACGATGTTTTATTAAACGTCACTTTTTTTAATAATTAAATGCGTTTTTTAAACGTGGCATTTGATATGAATCAAAACGACCCCGTTTTATGAATAGAAGACGCTTTGAAACACCTCCAAATCATGTCTCCCTACAAACCCTATTTTGTCTCTCCAAACCTTTATTTTAAAAACCCACCGCCATCTAGTTCAAATCTATCACTCACTCAAATCTCTCACTCTCTTGCTCTCTCTCGATTCTTCTTCAGAGCGATTGCAATTTCGAAATTTCGAAGAGCCAACCAATCTACATTCGTATGGCTTCAATCTCGTAGTTTCTTAGAGCGATTGCAATTTCGATTTCAAAGTTCGATTTTGAGCACTGCCATCTACAATCTCAGAAAAACCAATCAAATCCTTCAAAATCTGCTTCAGCTCCGTGATTTATCTCAGAATGGCATCACGGCGATTTCGATTTTGATTTCGAAGCTCTCTCTGTCTCTCGATTTCAAAGGTCTCTCTCTCGATTTCAAAGGTCTCTCTTTTGATTTGGTTGTTGATTTTTGTTTGTGCAGATCAAGGCATTGCATATGCGGAGATCAAGGCATTGAGAGAAAGCAGAAAGGTTTGAATCTACCCTTCTCTCTCTATATATATATGATTGTCGTAAATCTGATTCAGTGATTCTGTTTTGTTTGTGTTGGTTCAGTGATTATATATATATATACTAGTGGGTGGCATGTGTGTGCAATTTAAATAAGTAGGAATAAAAAAAAATAATAATGAAATTAATATTATAATGTGTACTTAGCTTAAGTGGACTTAAACCCATGGTCATGGGTTCAAGCCTTACCCATGTCTTTGTTTAACTTTTTTTTAAAAAATAAAAAATACTGCCACATGGCATGAGTAAAGTTTCAGGACACCATAAGAGTTATGTGTTCACTTTATAATAGTATAGATAGATAGATAGATAGATATATGTATATACTATAACCCTCTTCTGTTTTGTTGATTTGGTTGTTGCCAAGTTTTGATTCTGTAATGCGATAGTATTGCTCTATTTCAATCAATGAGAAACTTATGCTTTTTTGGACTCCTGCTTATAAAATTTTTTTTTTTTTTTGGACTTATTTTTGGGACTTAATTTTGTAATAGATCCCAATATTCTATACATGTAAGAATTTTGGGCATTGTATTGGATTAATGATAGGTGATTAGGTGCTGCTAGTGGCCTTTTTTTTTTCTTTTTTCTTTTTTTTTTTCCCTTCTGGTTTTGGTTTTGGTTTTGGTTTTGGTTTTGGTTTTGGTTTTGGTTTTGGTTTGAATATTCAATGAATTTTTCTGTTTTGCAATTATAAAAAAAGAAAGAAAAAAGAAATAGTTTATTTTTGTAATCGTTTTGATTATGTATGTTTATCTAAGGTCTCTAGACAAAAGGTTAAATATGCTCATGATGAAGCTAATTAAGTTAGCCATATATAAAGGATGACTAAGTTTCCTGTAGGTTTTATGGTTGTGTGACTCTATTAGATATCTATGAATGTTTGATTTTGATCTTTCTCAACAAAAAAAATAAAATAAAATTAATGTTTTATGAGACATATCAATAATGAATTTGATTCACACAATTTAAATTCTAAATAAATTTTAAAATATTTTTGTCTAGAAAATGTGTAAAAGTTGTCTCACCTTCTTCTTCTAAGTTCCATGGACATATTTCTGGTTCCTCACTTGGTGACTCCTCTAAATTATCATCAGAATCAAAGTTAGGACTTGATTGTGATTGTCAATGTGAATGTGAATGTGATTCCTCCTTTGGTGGCTGCTCTTTGGTGCTTTTTGAATCATCATCATCATCATTAGAAGTATTCGAGCTTTTGTATACTTATTGGTTTGGGTAGTGGGTTTGAACTTCCCACATCCATGAGTTCCTACCAAAATTATTCTATTATTGATTGATTTGAGAGAGCAATGTATTTCTTGATTGATTGATTTGAGTGATTCATCATCATCAGAAGTATTCGAGCTTTGGTACAGTTATTGGTCTTTATTGATTGATTTGAGAGAGCAATGTATTTCTTGAATCTATCATAATCTATCAAGAGCATTGGCACTTCATTAGAAAACTGACAATTTTTTGATTCAATAATTGAAAAGGCCTTAACTTATAGTCTTTGCATATCATACCGAGCTAAATAAACACAAGAAACATGCAGGGAGAATGATGCTAAACTTTCTTCCTCAAAGCATATGACCTTTAAGAAAACTCTTCAAGACCATTATTGCTTGTTTCTTAATTGGAATTATTTGTTATATTTTGTTTTCTTTTTCAGAGAGGTGGGGGGGGGGACATGTAGGTAGTGTTAGTCTGTCATGTAGATTTAGATGATATATTTTGTTTACTCTGTCATAATGAATTTGGTTATTATGTTTTGGGAATCTTCCTTCACTTTGTATATAATTCCATTGGGTTTATTCTAAAATTTTCTCAAAATTTAACTAATCAATTTTTGTTGATCAGCATTATGCAAAGGCTGGGCTTAAAACATGCTTGGTGATACAATCCCAAGATCCTACTGCTGACTATCTTCTAAATTGTAAGGTTGGAACTTCTCCAATCACATGCAACAACAACCTTTCGGTTGTTAGGCTAGAAACTACTAAAGTGTGTTTTTCTATTTTCCTACACATTTCCCTATATCTGATACAGCTGTTTAAATTTAAGTAGTTTTGACCCTAGATAAATTGTTCCCAATAATTGCAGATGCTGATTGAACCTCTCAATCGGCTAAAGCAAGCAGATGCTCATCTTAATATGACCCAAGGAGTGCTTGAAGGGGTGACTATGTGACAATCATTTTGATTATTTGGATTTCTTGTGTTTGAAAGACATTGTTTCCTTAATTATGCTTTTATCCATGGGCAGTTCTCATGTTTTTTTTTTTTTTTTTTTTGGTGATATGGTAGGTGGTTTGAGAAGAGCTTGGGGTTCTCCCTGGCATGGATTCTATATTTTCAGCCTTAACACTTCAGAGACTTGTAGGATTCTCCGAGAATGTTGCTCAAAGAAACCAGCAGGAAGATAAATTTGATGTAATTGTATATGATGGTATTAGTACTGAAGAAACTAATTGGACTATTTAATTCTGTTCATTTCTCTGCATGTTGTGTGGTTTGAAAATTTAATAAAGCCTAGAATTAGGTGAGGCTAAGGATTATAATTTCTTTATCAATTGAAGAATAAGTTTATTTATACTTTGCTTAGTAGAGTTTGCCAAATATGGAGGTTTGCACTACTTTTGCAATTGCGTTTAATGCGAACACAACTCAGAACTATGTTGGTTCTAGAAGTTTTATTCAAGAAACACAAGTGAGTTTCTGAACCTCTTCCTTGCATTTTTAGCTCATCATTCTTCATCACAGCAATTGAAACCACAACTCCTGCCACAGGGATCACATTTGTCTGAAACAAAGATAGTTAATCTATTCAATGCCTTCAGAGATTTGCTCAACACCAACCTTTTGTCATGCCTTAGTTGCCTCATTGTCAACTTGTATTATTGTTACATTCATCAGTTGTTGGGTATTCAAATATTGATTTCTCTGTATTCACCTCTCATCTTGGTACTGTTTTTGTAGATAACTAGTTCAGTTTTAGATAATTTGTTGGATGTTGTTGAGGAGGTACAGGTAGCACGTGTTGAGCATCAAAATCTGACCTACTCAAGTTTTTGTCCTCCATCTGGTAATATATATCCCTGCGTTTTTGTTACCTAGACGTGATGCTCATTGACAAAATTAAATGTTTAACAATTAAGATCATCCTTGACTAATGGGATGTAGTGTGGTCAACATAGTTCCATATCTGTTATAAATAATATATATCCCCTATATATGTAACTGTTAGCACAAACATGCCCTAGAAAAGGATTTTATGTTACTAGAGATGGGGTCCCTTCATCGTGTAGAATACACTTGGAATAAGAAAGCGACATTCCATATCTGTTATAAATAATAATGTGGAATGATAGGAGTAATTGGAAAGCAATGAATTCAAAATGCAAGAGTGAACTAATCGATGACTGACGAAACACACTGTCAGTAAAAATGTTTACTTTTATTCCTGTGGACGGTAGAGGGTCAGTAGAATCAAATGTATATAGATGAACACAAATATATACATTTGAGTTTGGATAATTGAAAGCATAATGTGTGGTTATAGCAAAGGATAGCAGAATTTTAAGATTCTCATATATATTCACTTTGTTTCCTTATTCTGATGTGTCAAGAGTAATTAAATCCAAATTTAGGCCTGTAATTAGCAAATATTTTATTTGGATAATTTGTTTTTCCAAGTTTTTAATGGTATTCTGATTGATATTCCATCTTTCATAAAGCTGATAACAGGTTAAAATAGCTACTGCCTCTTTATCCCTTTTGTCTTGCTCACACCCAATTACTCTCTTTGAATTTGCTCAAACTTTTCTCTTAAAAACTTTAATTTGAAATAAGAGAGATAAAATCTAAATACTTTAAATGCTGCAATTTAAGCAATGAGGGACTAATCTTGCCTATGTGGTTGTTGTAATGGACTCCTCTCCATTTGCAACAATCTTGCTTATCTTCTTCATTCCCCCAAGAAAAGAGCATACCATAATCATCTATAGCAGCTTCTTTAATAATAGTAGTGAAAGCACAACCACAAACAACAATCTTTTGAAAGTATGCCACTGTTCACTTGGTAGTCATCCCACTATTCGGCCAATGCCACATCAACAACAATTTCATACATTTTCATCCCAAGAGGTGAGCAATCATTTAATCAAAGCCTTTTTAACAATACAAGACCCTATTAATTAAAATACTTGTTCTTATTAAATGTAGATTCACTTTTCAAAGAAAGAGAAGAAGAAGAAGAACTAAGAGCATCTCCAACCCACTAGGTATATCACACTTGTTAGTCAAAATGCCTAGTATAACTCATTTTTTTCAACTCCAATGCACTAGGCATATGATTAGTCATTTTAGCTCAACTCACATTCACTAGCTACATGTAGCTAGCGTTCAAGGCTAGGCAAAATGTATTTAATCATTAGGATCATTTCCCTCCATCTTTGTTACTGATGTGGCATTTTATAAAATTAATAGTATTCAGATGAATAGCTAAAATAAAGAGCATAGTTGGAGTAAAAACATGAAATAGTTGATAGGCAAAATAAAATATATACTTTATAGTAATGTTTAAATAGGTAAAATGCCTATTACCGTTGGAGATACTCTAACAAGGTAAAAGTACCTACATCACTAGTTTTTAATTTCTTTTGTAAATCTATTAAGACATGATGTGATTTGGCCCTTGCTCTCAAGCCTTGATGATGATATCATGCTTTTGAAGTTTTTGTTTGGGTCACATTTGAAAAAAAGAGCTCTCAATAAGTAGTTCCATAGAGAGATTTGTTTTAGGATATTAATTAATGACTTTGGATGGATACTTAGGCCTTTCCACTGTCATTCTCTCTCTCTCTCTCTCTCTCTCGTGTGTGTATTTTCTTCTATTTTTCTTTTCCAAGCATCTTGACATATTTGCATATTTATTCTCTTGATTTGGAGGAGCTTTTTGTTGGGATTGGCAAAAAAATTTCTTATCGACTTTCTTATGAAAGTATGTTTTGGGATTTTGGATGTTATTGAAATATGCCACTAATGGAAAACAGTTTTTGCTCATGTTGTCTTCTTACCTTCACTTCGGTATTATTATTATATGTTCTTTTACAGTTAATACGGCGCAGAAGTTGGTTTAATTGATTGCATTAGTAGGCTAAGCAAGAATCTGCTTTGCTCGTTTTCGGTGGAAATGTAAGAAGCAATGAATACAGCTCTCATTTTGGCATGATTGTATTGTTTCTCTTTTGATTGATGAAAAATTTATTATCCAGTTTCTATTTATTAATGCCAATGATGCAGAATGTAACTACCTGTTGACTTTTTTCTTTATTATCAACTATGGATGAGCGCTCATAGAACTCCTAAGCAACCTAGATCTTTTGGATGATATTGCCTTTGTGAAGTTGGGCTAGCTGGATGATATTTCCTTTGTGACCTCCCAAGCATTTCATCATTTTTATTGTTAAATTTCTATTTGTTTATTATTGTGCTAACTAAGATTGTAGAAAATTGATGTAGAACTTCTGTTGAAATCATATTTTTTTGCTTGTCTTGTTGAATTTGTTATTTTGGTTTAGAATAATTATATAATGCTTGCCTAAATTTACTCAATATATTGAAATAGTAGCAAACTTTTATCCATATTATTCCTATTTTTTAGTTTTATTACAAGCATTTTTTTTTTAGTTAAATCTCAAAGAAGTAGCACAATTTCAAAAAAAAAAAAAAAAATGAAGATATAACGGTATTTTCAAACGCCACTATAGTATAGTGTAACGATTATATTTTTAAAACAACAAAGAGTTATCATGATGTTTTTAAAACATTGTTAAATACGGCGTGACGTCATTTTACTGTTATGCAGTACATTGTACTATCGCTAAATACGCCGACTTTCAAAAACGTCGTCTATACTAATATAGAGACGGTTTTAAAGCGTCGTAAAGCTACAGCGACGGCCGCATCCTCGGCATTTGGTACTAAACGTCACAAAAAGGATTAGTGACATTTTAAATAGATAAAACGGCATTTTTTAAACGCCATTAAAAGTCTAATTTCCGACAGTGCACCTAACATAAATATACATAAAAAGTATAATATTTTTGAAAAACATCTTTAGAAAATTCACTAAATACCAAAAATATAAAAATAAAAAAATACAATAATTTAGTATATTTTTCGTATTCTTGTCTATTTATTGATTTTTTAAAATATTTTTTTACAAATATTTTACTTTTTAGATACATCTAAGTAAGGTGTATCTAAAAAAGTAAAAAACTTGCTTATAATTTTAAAAATATTCACTAAAAACAAAAAAAACAAAAAAAAACACAACAATAAAAGACTCAATTTTTTAAAAATTAAATCTAGAAAATTGAAACCAAACACACTGATTGGGTTTCATAATATGATAATATCTTTTTAACGTTTAATTAATAGAATTTAAATTAAAGTAAGTTTTAAAATGAAAGAATATGCCACTATTGATTCATTAATTAACGAATTAGGTCTAACTTAATTGGTCACCATGACTCTTCTAAGGGTGAAAAGGATGTTATGGGTTCAACTCTTCCCAAAGGGGAGTTGAATTAAGAGGCAATCACTTGGTGTTTTACAAGCATGGGGATACTTACTCTCATAAATGCTAATCTAAGAATTGATTTTCACTAGAAAAAAAAAAAAAAAAGGAATTGTTTTCAAAGTTCCTTACAATATAATCTTTTTAAAAATGTTTATACAAAAAAAAAAAAATTAAGTTTTTAATTTATAAATCCTTTTTTAAATGTTTATACAAAATATAAATTGTTTCTATTTTTCTTGCAAGAATATTAGATAATTTATTTTTAAATTCTGTTTAATCCTTTTGCTCTGTTTTTCTCCTAAACTTGAGGTAGGGATTTCTTCAACATTCTTGTACAATTCTTAATTTAGTTATGTGCTCCTTGTCAAGTATTGAGGTTTTGGGAAATTGAGATTTTGATTTTGGGTTTTGATTTTGAAATGTAAAAGACGAGTTTTCAATTGGGTTCTTGAAGAAGGTTGTGGGGATGTATTTATTGTTGAGTTATGTTGAAATGTTGGAAATCCCTTCTTTATAGGTGTTTTTGAAAGTAAAGGGTGTGTGTTTTGAAAATCATAAATGTTCGATTTGTGAAGGAAAAAGGAATTATGCTGGGTTTTTGAAATGATGAAATTAATGTATATATAGATAATGAGGGTAGAGTTGGATATATGTATCACTCCCATTTTGAAAAATTATGAGATTATACTTATTGTGGAAATTATCTATTGAATAGAAATATCTATTTTAGGCTATCGGTGAAGGATAACTTTGATTGTTATAGAAATTACATAAGGATTAGGTCAATTGAAACTAATTATTCATACATCTTGGATTAAGCATTGTTTTATACTTAAACATTGAAATGTATTGTTTTGAGAAAAATGGGTGCATAACTTGGTAAATCTGGTTAGGAGGTATGGTTGTGGTTATTATGTTGGCCTGTGTGTCTTTAGTGAAAGTCGAGAAACCTGCGCAGTTAGGTACCGATCATTCTGATTAGTACCGATAAAATGACTTTGGTAGTGCTTGAATAGCCTACTGGCAGACACGCACCTAGAGATTATCAGTGTTTTGTATCCACTACCCTATTTTCTAATTGGAAATTGTTTATCGAATTGAATCACATATAATTGAGACATGGCATTGTTTTGAAAGAGAAAGCATGTTATTTTGGAAAAATGGCATGGCATTGCATTGTATTTACCATATGATTTTGTTAAGCTTCATATATTGTGTTTGAGTATCCCTATTAGGCTTTAGCTCACCTACATGGAAAATAACTTTTAGGTTCTGATGATATACCTCCATCAAGGACATGACTTAGGAGGATTTGGATCCAAGAGCTTATTTTGTTTCTTCTGGTACAATTATTTCTGTACAAGCCATACCCTTTAACTGTATTGAGTTGAACTCACTTTTGTTGTACCTAACCATTGACTTAGAAAGATATAGCCATTAGGGCATAAACTTACTTGTACCTCTTTTTATTTCAATTCATTTACACATGTCATATGCTATATATTTAGGATCTAGGATTTATGAATGTATACACGCATATGTCATCTTTTATATGATTGAGGAGTGTAAATGAAAAGTTAAATATATCGCAAGTTACACATTTTACGGAATATTATGCTTTAGTTTGTTGTTATTATTTCGGGGCGTTACAACTTGGTATCATAGCTACCGAGTTTGAATACTTTGGGATCATGGGAGGTGATTTTTACCACAATGGGTTTATCTCGCTAGATAATATTAAAAGTAGGCCTGCTATGCTATGTGATAACATGTTTATATGACTAGATGAGTATGAGATTTAATTTCTAAGATATTGATTGGGTCTACGAGTTTCTAGAAGTCCTGTTAGAAAAGCACTTGATCACTGCTATTTCTAACTGAAACTCTGACAATGTCGCAAAGCGGTCATTATCTAGAAAGGAAGTTCATTTATGCTTATGTGATTAGGTGCTTATGTAGAATGAATTACTTGTTGTCCACCATATTAGGATGTGAGTGAATTAGTTTTGGCACATCTATAAATGTGCTAATCAATTGTATTACCTTTATTATAATGTCAAAATGCAGATATGGTGGTGATAGACATGGCAGGCCTAGGCGGTAGAAGGTGTCGATCCCAAATGAAATTCTGGGATAGGAGGAAGGTGTTGGTCAAGCCAACGTAGCCAAGCTAGCAGGTCAGCAAGCCATGGGCGCTTTAACCCATGAAATGGCCGGAGCTTTGCAGGAATCCATTTTCATTCTCCAGGCTGAAGGTCAAATCTAGGCCCATATTGCAAAAACAGGGCCATCTTTTTTTGAAAATGGAGTTATTTTGGTTGAATCCGGATGCATTTATTAGGGATCTGAAAGAGCCATTGAAAGCTGATAAGTGTCTAGAATAGATGACGAAGACGTTTGAGATGCCTGGCATCGACGATGACGAGTTAAGAGTGACCTTGACATCCTTCCAACTTAAGGGAGATGCGGATCAATGGTGGAAGTATGCATGAGGGCGTATTGCAATAACTTGGGAGGCTTTTGTCAATGCCTTTCAGAACAAGTTTTTGTCATCCACAACAAGGGAGAAATTGAGAGAGTAGTTTCTGAAGCTCAAGCAGTTAAGCACACCAGTAGCCGAGTTTGAGGCTGCTTTTATTAGTTTGTTGAGGTTTGCACTAGAACTTATGGCAACAAAAGAACGTTGTTGCATCGACTTTGAAAAGAGGTTGAGGATCGGGCTACTTTTTAAGGTGGCTAGGTCTATGATTAGGGATAGAAGTGTAAAAATGGCCCGTGACCCGAGGTGGGCCCGATTCGTTTAGGCCCGTTTAGGATTGAGCCTTGCCCGAGACCCTAGGCCATTATTTTGGAGCCCGACCCGGCCCGTGGGCCCGCTTAAGGCCCGCTCGAGGCCCGGCCCGCTCGAGGCCTAGTGTTTTTTAGTGGGAAATAATAAAATTTTGGTAGAAAAAATAAAAAATAAATAAATAAATTTGTTCAATCCCGCCCCAAGCCCGAGCCTAGGCCCAGGCCCAAGCCCACTGGCCCGCCCAATGCCCGAATACCCCCTAGGCCTAATTTTCTGGCCCATGGACTGGGCCGGCAGGACCCAAATTTTAGCCGAAGCCCGCGAGGCTCGACATGGGCCAGCTCGAGCCTGAATAAGCCGGGCCAAATTTACACCCCTAATTAGGAATTAGGGTCGTCTGGTGAAGGCGACAACTCACTTAGAGACTTTAATCCAAACTAAGGAGGAACAAATGAGAGGCTCTTAGCAGAGGAGCCAGGATGTTCAGGGGAAGTCTAGGGACAACAAACGGCAAAGAGGTTCCACCCCACAGCAGTCTCAAACAGTGCAGTTTAGATCCACATTTCCCGTATCAAGTTTTGTTTTGGGGAGAGGTAGTCAAGGTGGTTTCATTTGTTTCAAGTGTGGTCAGTTGGGCCACAAGTTTTCAGTTTGCCAGCAAAAAGGTGGAGGGCAACAGTTTGCACTATCTTCAGCTCATCCTCAGTGCCAAAGTCAAGAAAAAGGGCAACCGCCTACCTGTTATCAGTGTAAGCAATTGGGATACTTGAGGAGACTTTGCCCTCAAGCATGTGGCATATCTGGTGCATCTGGTTTGAGACAAACACAGAGCCATGAGCCTACCCATTTAGCATAGGCCTCGAGGGCTAATCAGGAAGCCTCTTCAATTCAATCTGTGTATCAGACCTATGCTCCAAGGGGTGAGTAGGTAGAGCAGAGACCTTCAGGGCGTGCGTATGTTGTTACCACACTGGATCAGTCCCCAGCACCTTCTGTTATGAGATGTAACTTTTTGTTGTTCAACTTTATTGCCAACGTGTTGATTGATACTGGTGTATTTCATCCTTCATTTTGTCTGCATTCACATTAGTTTTGGGGTTAGAAATCGATTAGCGTCTCCGCTTAAGGTAGAGTCACCAATTGAGGGTAAGGTTGTCTTGGATCAGGGATGTTGCGGTTGTGAGATA